GCAATTACATTGGTCAAATTTGTATATCAACCAATGAAATTGTAAAAAAACTACTCCGCTTTAGCCTACCCCCAAATTTGGCAATAGATTGAGGGAGGTATTTTACCTCCCCGAGTGTTAAGCTATCAATCTATCTAGTAACTTTACCAAATCTGGTACTGATGAGAGCACCTTGTGTTAATGTTATTGTGTTCTTGTCCAATTTATAGCATGTGAAAAAATTCAGGCGATAGTAATTGTTAATGTCTGTTATCATTATTAACAGGACGAGAAACAAAATTTTATAAGTTTATGTGCATTTCTCACAAAAATACAGAACATTCCTTAAAGGGAAATAAAATGTAGTAAAGTTATTATTACAATAGCAACATAGATCACAATGATATGAATATGCTATATCACGATAAGTTGGACACTCGATAAGTCGGAAACTCAATAAGTCGGACAAAATCATATTAAAATCCTTTCGATAAGTCGGATAACCTAAACCAGTCGTGTCCGACTTATCGAGTTTCACTATGTATCTGCTAATCAAATCTAAGCATAGTAAGCATAATATCACAGTGTATTTTGATTTGCAGGTTGTCAATAATTAATGCCGCAGATTTACTCTACACTATATTTATATTTCACCATATTAATATCAAGTTATTAAAGAAAGTGCATAAAAATTAACAATATTGTTAATTCAAGAAAACGTTGAAAGTTGAACAATCCCGATTAAGAATGTTCTCATAATTACATTCTATTATACTCGTAGTTATTATCCACAAGCTTTAATATTGCCCAGCAATTTCTAGTTTGCATAGACAATACAATTTAAATCTGATATTCTTGTGGTCAAATGCAAATATAAATAACGAAAAAAGTGCCAGGATGACTTATGGGAGAAAAATACTCGGATCTAGAGCGTATAACACATCGCTCTGGTCGCTCTGGTGCACTACGCTTATTATTAGTATAATTGGTAATATATCGCTGCTATAAATTTCCTTCTTTTTTCGTTAATCACCTTTAGTTGCCTCTCTCATTTTCTTTTCGTAGGTTTTGTCTCTCATACGTACTAATCGAGTTATCAAATAATAATAATAATAATAACAATAATAATAATAAGGTTTATTTACGTCATGTGCCGGCGATCCCACGCGGTAACACAAACATGGGGTCTATAATTAATAGACATTGCGATTTTTTAATGTCTCTCCTTCAAAACGATGTCTATTGGTATTCCAACAGCCGCTTTCCGGGAAATCATTGAATACATCCATCGCGATCCGCAATGGGACACCATCCTCAGAGCATGCATGCTAGTGAACAAAGCCTGGGCAAAAATCGTAATACCTGTTTACTGGAAAGCACCTTTCAAAAGGAGTACAACCGTCAACGGCGAAATAATGAAATCATCGACCTTGATTCGGTTACTTAACGAAGAAGAAAGATCAGAAATTCGATTTCAACTGCCTCCAATGTGGTTGTCTACCGTGCTCCCATACCCTTACTTTATAAAGGAACTTGATCTGTATGCCATGTTCGAATCTGTTGGAGCTTGGGTTGATAGCGCTACTAAAGCCGCACCTGTTGCCGACAGCGGTGTGTCCATGGATTTGTTTCTTTCTAATCAGATGAATCAAATAATACAGGCGCTGTTGAAGATGTTTGATCGGTATTCGGCGAGGTTGAATGTGCTTGGTTTGATTATGAAGTATAGCAGGCAGTATTACTTTAGGGCTGCTGATGCGATTGCGTTATTTTGTGACAAGGATGAAACGTTGTTTTCCGATACCAACAAGATAATCATTGATGGAGAATGTAGAGACAATGAGCTATACAAGGCGTTAGCAAAAACATGTCGGCGCGTGGTAGGTAAATTGAAGAGACTAGTGCTATATTGTTTACAATTGCCGATGATCTAACTGATCGACTGTTGTTATTACAGGAACATCTCGCCATAACAGTGGACAGTATAACAGGAGACTTGACAAAGTGCCACAACCTCTCCCTTCTAATTTCTGCACAACAATCCTTAGTCTCTCTCTCTTTATGTATAACCATGATATCAACCAGCATGGGTCTTAATTTCATTCACCAAGCCATCTTGGATCAGTCAAAGACTTTATCCTATGTCCAGTTTGATGGCTTTGATTTCTCCCACTCGGAGCCACTTCATAAATTAGCCTTGTGCAAATGTCTGAAGAAACTGGAATTTATAAATTGTCAAGGGTTAAATTCTATAATGATTTTTCCCTTAACTGTTGCCGACTTTCCAGTGTTAAAAGAAGTTGTTGTCAAGAATAGCGAGCATGGAATGTTACAAGGATGGGCAAGAGGGATGAATGCTAGATCAAGAAAGTTATGATGCGAAGTGTATATACAGCGTGTAACGAAAAAAAAAAAAAAAAAAAAAAAAAAAAACCACCGGCGGTTCGTAATCGAATTTATTCTGTTAATATTAATAAATAAGGAAACGTGTTGTCGATCATTACTTTGTTTGTTTGTTTGTTTACGCAAATTTAATCATAATAAACTTTATTCTCAAAGTAACACTCACTCTCTGTCTTCACACATGCTTGACACAAGGCTTGAAGCTCAACTTCAGATATTTATCAAAAACAAAGACGTCTCGGCTTAACATAGTGTGAAGCATAAGCTTTTCGGTGCAAGAACACCGTATCTCCGTCACACTCATGGTAAATAAGATCAAAGAAACGGTTCTTGTTCAGCACGGGGGGAAATGACCGCTCCGTAATAGTGCTATAACAACGCGGCAGCTTGCCGTATTGCAGGGCAGACAAATATTCAACTGCTTAAACTGTCGGCACCTCCATCAACACCAACATGAACAGTACAAGTAGAAGAGGCCCGCATATGCAAGGGGTAGCTCTTTAGGGTAACTGTAAGTATCATGACGTGTATTCTAAAGCTGCCATTCCGAGTTCTTTAGAATATCAGCATCACGACACAAGGGCGATAAGATCGCCACAAACCCCTTTAACGAATGCAGCATTTTCTGCACACACGACATCCGCGGGGATTATGGCATACAGCCAACAACGTCAACATTCTCAAAGAGGAAGGAGGGATCGTAAAATCGCCAGTTTGGGGTAAAATGTGCGAATCAAAAGAGCTGAAAGAGCTGATCTAAAAAAGCTACTTGGCGAGAAATAGAATATGATTTTCCACCCACACGCAAATTAAATCGCCTGTGCGAAAAATTTATTAGTTACTGTGAGAACAGTAACTTACTAGCGCGTACAACAAAAATCCAACCAAGAAGCAAAATGTGACTTTAGCGTAGACGAGAACCAGTTATATGTCCAACTAAATAGTATGGAATATATCATCTTTATTCCGCGTGTTTGGGACTGGGCTGATGTATGAAAGTTCTGTACCTCATGCAACTCATGCTTGCAAATAAACGGGCAGAAGGGTAAGGCTATTTTCACCGATGAGACAGCATTCGACCGTTTTCGAAATAATATCCGTCGGCGCTATCCTTATTTTTTTGCTTCACCAAGCGATTTGCAGACCCAGCACCTACTACTACCTGTTGCAAGAACGTGTATGATAATTACAGATATGACAATATTTATGATGTAACTAAGCGGACACTCCATGCCACCCTGCGAATGGTATTCCAGATCTGCCTCCCGAAAAACCAAGATCAGAATTATATGCCAAATTGATCAGAATGAAAAATATGAACTTCAAGTCAGAATTATTCCGTTTATTAAGAATCAATTAAAGAATTTTGAAAGACGTTCGAATCTTTGTTTTCCGATAGTGACTATTTTTCGTAGAACACGATTAACTTATGTCTGCAGTACGTGAAGCCCTTTTGTGCTATGGAAATTGGATAATACAGTACGATTTAGGTGCAACAGCACTAACTGCTTCCTTTGGTTCGAGTTCCCACATTACAGACAAGTCGTGGATATACTTCAGGGGGCAGGCTTTGTTCGAATTCAATATAGCGTATTTCGCCACAGGCGTGGCTGTATTCTTCGACCATACTACATACATGGATTTGACGAACTATGTTCGTGGAGGTCGCATCCCCAATATTCCAGTCTTTTGATTTGGCTATGAAAAGACGAAATCTGTATTTGAGGAGTAATACAAATTTCTGAAGAAACAGATGCACTGGTAAGGTCTGCCGATGAGTTTCTAATACTAACCTTGTGGCTGGTTGCTAAGCTTGTAAAAACCTTGTTACAATTAATTTTAGCGAGGTTGTGAGAAGATCAGTACAATATATGTTCAATGTTGATACAAGGTTATGAGAATTTAATAGGTTTCAGCTAAGTGGTCAACGGAATATTAAGCTTGTAGCGGATTTTGTTAAAAATAAAGGCTTCAAAATAAAATATGGAGATACAAATTCTTTATATTTAGTTTGTCCAGAAGAATATTTCCAAGAATGTGATACAGCTTATGATAATGGAAATGGGATCTCGAAAGAAAAATACTGGTAAAAATTTCTGGATCTTAAGAAACTAGCGACATGTTCCGAACAATCAAACGATACCATTGACATCCGTTCGTCATCCCATGTAAAGTTTTGTTATAAACTGTATTACAGTGACAAATAAAAGGGGAAAGGACAGTTTTGATATTGAAAACGTGAAGCAGGATAGAAGAGATATCCCAATCGGAAGACGCTTTAGATATTGAATATATCGATTGGGATTTATATTAAGGAACTACATAAAAGAGGGCATTGTCAGATTGATACCACGCCTACGTGATTTTAAGCAGACATTGTATTGTCATACATCAAGTAAAATTATAATTGGTACGATTTTGCAACATTTCAAAGAATAGTATTGGGTTTAGGTCGTAATGTCAGTCAATGTAGATAAAGATCAATCACTTATTGCCGAACGTTAAATCAACAAAAGACTATTGGAAGAATTTGTAGATCGACGTATTGACTAACGTATTGAGATCAGACTATTAATCAAGCAAGCGTTCTCAATAACTCGCCTTCCCCTCTCGATACGGAATTATGGTACCGCATTATGAAAGGGAGGCAATTTGCGAAGTGAGGCGCCTAATTTGGAAATGCTGTTAATTTTTAATCTCAGATTGTTCCGACCTTTTTGTATGGTTGGTTTCGTTTTTTTTATAGTCTAGTGTTTTAGAAGGTAATCACGATGAAAAATAGACATTTCCAAATTAGGCACCTCTCTGTGCACGGCACGATTACACGGGTTTCCTAATTCTGTATCGAGAGAGCTATTGAGAACAACCTTGATTAGCCATATTTCAAAGATCGGACAGAACTTAAGCATTATTATAAAGTAATGTTAGTTTGACAGTTTGCCAATATTAATATTCTGGAGAGATACAGTATGTTAGAGAAAGGAAGGTTAGTGCAATGCTACAATCAAGTATAGTCAACATTATAACCGGGTAAGCGAGAATGCATTAAAAACGTGCGGCGAAGAGTACTTGATTTACTAATAATATTAGAACATGGTGTCACGTAAGTGTAGTGTTCTCTAAATGCACAGCCCCACACTCTCAATCCCGAAGTGTGCATATCGTTTTGCATACGTTACACACACGAAAATGCATGACGTATCTCCCAGCTTAAATATAAATTTCTATCAAGAAAAGTAATCTAACACAATGTCCGTGCGTAAATTACAAGTTATTGGGCTATTTTAATACCAGCCGTACTAGTCAAAACTTCTACGGTACATATTATTATTACCAATAATTTTACGGAAATTTTATGAATTGCAAATACAACAGAAGAAATAGCCTTCGATAGTGGATGAGTTGCCCCAATAGGCTACCTACTTGACTGGGCTCAACATGAAGACATCGACACTGATAATCATGATAGGTAACAGCGGAATATACCTCCCTATTACTATAAAGTATCTCATTTTACGGACATGGAGACACGGACAAAAATATATTACAATAATCTTAATGTTCATATAAAAAATGTTATCGACTATTACTATGTACTTGGATATGATTTGGGGGTCGCTTTTCGTTTGTTCTTTCGGTACTTCATTTCCTAGAAACTGTGAATAACAGCCACGACTTCTCCCAAAGGGGACCAGCGTTTTTTATTTAATTAATTTAATAGAATAATTTTTTTTTACTTGAAAATCGTTGCTCTGTTACCTCGGGTATTGCTTTTACTCATTTTTTATTAAAAAAATTTTTTTTGTCGTGCTTGTCATGGGTACTTCGTAGTTTTATATGCAAAAAAAAAAAATTAAAAAAAAAAATTTTTTTTTGCTTTTTTCTTTTCCTTGATTTATCGACATGCCGTTTCCCCACTTGATGACTTACCGGGGGGGACAAAAGTATTACACACACTTTATATTTACGATATTGAAAAAATTTTTATATGTAATTAAAAAACTAACCTTTGTACCATCTACTGTACTATTTGCCTAAATGAAATGTTTATTTTGATTTAATAAAACAGGTTGTGATAACCACAAAAAAATTTAACAAAAAACCACTGTTTTTACCTTGGCGCATAAATGAGTTTCGAAAAGCGCTTGCTGATTCTCAAAAAGGTGGTATAATTGCAACAAAAACCAGGTTACAATGATGCAACAGTCGCAATAATGATAGAATGCTATCGCACAACAGTTCAACGGTTTTTGCAGCCTAATCAGGTAAAAACAATCAGGTCGGCCGCGCATTCTCTCAATCACGGGATCGACAAAAATTGAAAATCGCTGTTACTGCGAACAAAAATACACGACGACAAAAATCCAAGAAATTACTAAAGTAATTTCTAAAACTAAAAACCGACGAATTTTCACAAGAACGTTCACCGTGCACTTCATGAAGAAAATGTACGTTCGTGTATTCCTTTAGAAAAGCCTTTCATCTTAGAAAAAAATCGGAAAATTTGACTCGAGTGGGCAATGGAAAGGAAGGAATTGGACTGTTGCAAACTGGAAGAAAGTCATATGGTCGGATGAATCTACTTTCTCTCAGTTGCGGTGGTACTGAAAAAACGCATTCCTCAGCCTTCAAATGTTCACAAACTTGAGAAGGCAAAAGAAGGTGTAATGCGCTTCCAACCGTATATTGCTGCAAATGGAGAAAATACTAACTATTGACGTTTACTTTAAGTAAATAAAATTTCTTTTTGGTTTAATAAAAAAACTTCTTCAATATCATAAGTATAAAAGTGTGCAATACTTGTATCTTACTAATTATATGCCTACTTACACGCTATCAAAATTCTTTTTCTGCTTTACCCAATTAAATAAAATGGGTTCGGTTTATTTCTGATAAGTATAACAATCAAAGAATCGATTGTATGCAGACACACCGAAGCTAACTAAAACTTATTCAAGATGTCAGTTTTTCCAT